ATACGGGTTTGGTACAACAGGATGGATGGGAAGTATAATCTGATTGTTGAGGCAAAGGTCTTGGACTAGCCTGTAGGATTTGTCTGGTTTCTGGACAGGTAGAATAGGGGAGTTGTAAGAAGAATTTGTAGGCTTTAAAAGGCCATGTTGTAATAGGCGAGTGATAACAGGCTTTAGTTCCTTTAAAGCCTGTCGTGGGATGGGGTACTGGCGTTAAGCAGAATAAGGGTGATTGGGATGATGAGGGGTAAGTGACTTGTAGCAAGGGATGGGGAGGTGGTGTTCCGCACCCTAGGATTAAGATAGGGGGTGTCAGGGGAGCTTTTGAGGGAGTTACAGGTTCGGGGAGGAGGTTGGCAATGAGGTGTGGCTGTAGCCCAGGAATAGTTAAGGAGGCAGGCAATGTTGCTAGGATATCTTGGCCTAACGGTAACTGGACAAGTGGGGATAATTAGGAAAGAATGTGGAAAGGAGTGTTGGCCTAATTGACACCAGACTTCGGGAGTTTTGAGAGGCCTGTAAGCCTTGCCATCAATTCCCACAACAGTTATGGAGGCCAAGGAGACAGGTCCTTGAAAAGAAGGCAGTGTGGAGTGGGAGACTCCCGTATTGATTAAGAAGGGGATAGACTTACCCTCCACCATAAGAGTTACCTGAAGCTTGGTGTCTGTGATGGTCCAGGGGGCTTCTGAGGTGTTCAGACAGCATTAGTCTTCAGCTGCCAAGCCAGGGAGATCTGGGAAGGATTTGATCTGGGAGCTGTGGGTTGTAGCTCCAGGAGCTCTGGGAGCAGCAACATGAGTGGGACAGTCCAACTTTTAGTGGGGACCCCACACAGACCAGGCAGGGCTTAGGAGGAATCTCAGGCTGTGGGCATTTCTTGGCCCAGAGGCCAGGTTTCCAACACTTGAAGCAAAGTCTGGGAGGGACAGCTGGATGCTGCAGTCTGGGTGCTTTGAAGTCTTCACAAGCCAGTGGTATGACCGGGGTTTGTCTTACAGCAGAGGCAAGCATCTGTAGTTCCGAGATGCACTGCCGCCGGGCAGCTTTTTCCCCATTAAATGCCTTGAAGGCAGGGTTAATTCTTGTTGTGGGGTTTGAGGGACAGATTCTAATTTCTGTGGCTTTTTGTAATGTGAGGAGCTGATTGGGTGATAAAATACATATTAATCATTCTTCAGGGATGGAGTAGAAGTAAGGATGACATTAAGTTACTCCAGGTGAGTTAAAGGACTGGGTTAGATATTGGAACTCTTGTATATATTTAGTAGGATCTAATAAAGAGGAGCCTAACCATTGGCCAATTTGGGAAGGGTCAGATAAAGAGAAAAGAACATGCACCCTAACTATGCCTTCTCCAGCCACCTCACGAAGGGGGAATTGTTGGGCAGGGGCAGTTAGGAGTTAGCCATGGGACCAAGCTGTAAGCTGGACTGGGTGTGAGGTAGGGAGGTGACAGGAGGGGCATGAAGAGGTGGGCTGTGGGCAGAGGAAGAGGAGGGAGTCTCAGGCGGTGGGGGTAAGGGCTGGATTGGAGTCTGGTTCGGACAGGAAGGGAGGAGAAAGATCAGAAGGGTTGATGGGCAAGGAGGATTCTGGGTTGCTAGCAGAGGCAGGAGGAGTAGACGGAAGGGAGAGAAGGAAAACTTGGGATGGGTTGCATTGAGAGCAGAGATTAGGGAGGGATTGGAGTATTAAAAAAATGCCTGGGCCAGGCGTGGTGGCTTATGCCTGTAATCCAGCACTTTGGGAGGCTGAGGCAGGCAGATCACCTGAGCTCAAGAGTTCGAGACAGGCCTAACCAACATGGAAAAACCTTGTCTCTACTAAAAATACAAAATTAGCCGGACGTGGTGGTGCATGCCTGTAATCCCAGCTACTCAGGAGGCTGAGGCAGGAGAATTGCTTGAACCTGGGAGGCAGAGATTGTGGTGAGCCAAGATCATTGCACTGCACTCCAGCCTGGCTACAGAGGGAAACCCTGTCTCAAAAAAAAAAAAAAAAAAGGCCTGGAAGTCGGTCACCTCAAACCATTTGCCCATTCTTTGACAAAAATTGTCTAGGTTTTACAGAATAGAAAATTTGAAAGTGCCGTTTCTGGCCGTTTGGAATCGTTGTCTAATTTGTATTGAGGCCAGACTGTGTTACAGGAAAAATTAGATGTTTGGGTTTCAGATCAGGTGACAACTGAAGAGGTTTTAGGTTTTTTAGGATGCAGGCTAGAGGTGAAGACTGAGGAAGAGGGCAGTATATTGCCCACAGCGAAGTTCTAAGGAAAGGAGTAGAGTAGAGGAGGAGAAGGAGCGAGCAGCTACCAAGTTCTTCAGTAGTCGGCACTGACTGGATCCTGGGCTTTAACATGCGTGAGTCATCAAGGCAGGCATCCCCAAGATTGACCAGACACCAAGGGAAGACTGTCTTCCCGAGTCCGTGACCAAGGTTGTAGTTTTTGAGCAAGGAGGAGAGATTTGTCTCCTCTGTCCTTACACTGATAGTGTCTCAAAGCTTTGTCTCTACTAGAAGGAGAAAGATTTAAAGTAAAAGAGAGAGAGACTTGTTTCCTTTTCACTACCTAGAAGGAAAAGGATTTAAAGGAAAAGAGAGAGAAAGGGAGAGACTGCTTACAGGATCTGAAGGTGGTGAGAGAGCTGTTCAGCATGGAACTGCTGAATAGCTGAAGTATTGAGGTCTCAGGTGGGTCTCTTCACAGGGGGAGCAGGGACAGGGGGTCAATCTCCCAAAGGAGTACCCCGTCACAGGTTTCGGCACCAAATGTTAAAGCGCATGCTCTGAATGAAGAGGACCACCCCCCGCCACCAACCCGGCCGCAAAACAGGCTTTGTGTGAGCAACATGGCTACTTATTCACCCAGGTGCAGGCGGGCTAAGTCCAAAAAGAGAGTCAGTGCAGGGCAGTGGGATGGGAGTTGGTTTTATAGGTCTGGGGTCGGCAGTGGAAAGTTACAGAAGTTACAGTTCAGGGTGGTTTTTGCAAGCTGAGATGGGGTTGTAGGGTCTGGAGTTACGAGGTTGACCAACTTGGTTACAAAGTCCAGTTGCCTTATCAGTTGAGGTGGGAATAAGGAACAAGAGAAGAATGTCTCAGAATTATTTAGGCACCACAGGGGTTGGACATTTCTTCTCCTTTTGTGGTTTTCCAGTTACTTCAGATTTTCTAGTTCCAGGAACTCATCTGGAGTATATGTGCAGGTCACAGAGGTTACCATGGCACAGTCAGTCCACCTAAAAGACCTTACAAGCCCGTGTGGTTCTGGGTTTTTTTCTGGTTGGTAGCTATTAATTGCTGCCTCAATTTCAGACCTTGTTATTGGTCTGTTCAGACATTCAGCTTCTTCCTGGTTAGTCTTGGGGAGCGTGTAAGTGTCCGGGAATTTATCCATTTCTTCTAGATTTACTGGTTTATTTGCATAGAGGCGTTTGTATTCTCTGATGGAAACCATCATGTTTCTATAGCTGCAGTTTAATTAACATGTAATATTTCCTCTGTTTTGAGAGACTTAAGTTTCTTGTGATCTATACTCCCTTTACCTATACTGTCAGTCAGAACTATAAACCATCACCACAAAAATGTGAGACAACAAGGAATATACTGTCTTATTACTGGACAACTAGTGCTAAGAAAGGTTAGGTCAGTGATAATTTTAAAGTACCCTTTGACCTAGCAGCTTTGTTCCCAATCATTTATCTTTGCTGGGTACAATGGCTCACCCCTGTAATCTCAGCACTTTGGGAGGCCAAGACAGATGGATCACTTAAGGTCAGAAGTTCAAGACCAGCCTGACCAACATGGTGAAACCCCGTCTCTACTAAAAATACAAAAAAAAAAAAAGCCAGGCATGGTGGCTTACACCTGTAACCCCAGCACTTTGGGAGGTCGAGGGCAGGTGGATCACAAGGTCAAAAGATCGAGCCCATCCTGGCCAACATAGTGAAACCCCGTCTCTACTAAAAATAAAAAACAAAAATTAACTGGGTGTGGTGGTGCACACCTATAGTCCCAGCTGTTCAGGAGGATGAAGCAGGAGAATCACTTAAACCCAGCAGAGGTTGCAGTGAGCCAAGACCGCGCCACTGAACTCCAGCCTGGCAACAGAATGAGACTCTGTCTCAAAAAAAAAACTAGTCAGGTGTGGTGGTGGACACCTGTAGTCTGAGCTACTCAGGAGGCTGAGGCCTGAGAATTGCTTGAACCCAGGAGGCGGAGGTTGCAGTGAGCCAACATTGCACCACTGCACTCCAACCTGGGTGACAGAGCTAGACTCCATCTCAAAAAAGTAAATAAATAATACTGTATCTTCAAGATACATAGGAATACGTGTGAAATGATTTCTAAGACATTATTCACTGCAGCATTGTTTTTAATGGTTTGTAGTGAGGTAAGTCTGTCCAGCAATACCTGGGCTGTTAAATTATGATGCTTCTATATCGTGGATTGTGCAATATGAAAAAAATGTGGAAGCTTTTTACATTCAGATATGGAAAGATCTCTAAGGTATATTGTTAATTGAAAAGAGGGAATGAAAAATAGGGGAGTGTATACAGACAAAAATCTCTGAAGGATATACAAGAAAGTAGAAACAGTGGGTACCTGTGGGGTGCGGGGGTCACTGGGCAGGTGAGGAATGAAGTTGGGGGAGACTGCACTGTGTGTCTTTTTATACCTTTTTTATTTTTGAACCATGTGACCATTGGCCTAAGTACAGGTCAAAGAGAATAATAAAAATTACTGGAAATCTTAAGTCTTTCACCTTCCAATACATACGTTATTGGCATTATATTGCTATGGTTTTGACTTAATATGTATCTGCAAAAGTTATTTATTCTGAATTAGGAAGTCTATTATTTTAAATTATTAAACTGATCTAAAACAACTCTTAAAAGAATACTAGGTCATAAACAGTGGCAGAACGAGAATTGCAGGATTGAGGAACATTCAGAATGTGGGCCTGGCTATCCCTCACTTGTTGGTCTTTCTTTCAGATGGTTCCTTCATCAGCTTCAGGCCAAGTTCGAGGTTACTATGTAGACTGGAGAATGTGGCGTGATGTGAAGAGACGAAAAATGGCCTATGAATACGCAGATGAGAGACTACGTGTTAATTCACTCAGGAAGAATACCATTTTGCCAAAACTTCTACAGGTTGGCTAATTAAGATGAGTCTCTTTCTACCACAAGATCATTAACTCATGTCAGATCATTTTTGATACTGTTTGTTATGACTTGGTATCTGTATAATTTCTGGAGAATAAGATCCAAGTCAGTGTAAACAAATAGCCTTGACACTGATTTTGGTGAGTTTCAAATTAAAGACTATTCACTCCCAGCTAGCCTTTCAACCATTTCATTATGCCAGCCTTAGAAAGTACTGGTGAATTGAGTGGCTATTTTCAGCCTGAATTCTCCCTGAATTCATCCCAGTCTTTTAACTGGCATGGCATTGGGAGGCATTGCTGATGTTGCAGGCTGTGTGCCTAGCATGTGGCCTAAACTGTTCCTTACCCAGGACCATCCTGAGCTTGTCTTCCTGAACTCCCTTGCCCACCTCTGTGTGCTGAAGTGCCTTCCATTTAGGCTTACTTTCTTGTCACACTTCTTGGGTTGAATAAGAGGATATCAACCCTGCTTGGCTTTCTGAAGCATAAGGCCCTGCACCTAAGTGGTGACGTAGAATATCTGTGTTCAAGAGGCTTGTCAGGGAGATATAAATTAAACTCAAGGCCACTAAACTGATTGAGAGCTCAGATTTTTAAAAAATTACATTTAGAAAAGTGGGCAGAATGATACACATCCTATTTATTACTATGGATTCTTTTTAGTCTTGTCTGGATTAAGCCAGATGAGCAGAAAACTGAAGGTTTTGGACCACTGGGTTATGGCTTATACTAAAATGGCATTAAGCTACTTTCCTACATTTAGGGAGTAATAAGAAGTGGCAGGCCAGGCATGGTGGCTCATGCCTGTAATCCTAGCACTTTGGGAGGCCGAGGTGGGCAGATCATCTGAAGTCAGGAGTAAAACTTAGCTGGGCACAGTGGCCAGTAATCCCAGCTACTTGGGAGGCTGAGTCAGGAGAATCACTTGAACTCGGGAGGCGGAGATTGCAGTGAGCCAAGATCATGCCACGAAATTCCAGCCTAGGCAACAGAGCAAGACTCTGTCTAAAAAAAGACAAGAAGTCGCCTCAAGAAACTGAGCTCAAGATATTGATCAGGGAAGCAGGGGGTAGAATGGTGGTTGCTTGGAGCTAGCAGGACTGGGGGTATCACTGAGGAAATCAGGAGATACTGGTCAAAGGGGTATACTTTTTGTTGTAAGATGAATACACTCTGCAGAGCTAGTGCACAGCACCATGCCTATAGTCAGTCGTACTGTATTGTATACTTGAAATTGCTGAGAGAGTAGATCTGAAGTGTTCTTACCACACACACAGAAGGTGATTTTGTGAGGTGAGGGATGCATTCATTTCATTGTGGTAATCATTTCACAACGTATATATCTAGCAAATCATGACACTGTATGCCTTAAATACATGCAATTTTTGTCAATTATACCTTAATACAGCTGGGGATACATTGTTTGAGTCCATTTTTGAAGACACCCAGAAGAACTGTCTCTGGTGTGACTAGCAGCAGTAACTGCAGAGTCCGTGAATCATGGGAAGTGATCATGGTTCTCTGCTGCCTGCTAAGTAGCTGACAAGTCAAGTTTATATCCCAGTTCCAACCAATTTACAGGCTTTCACTGCACGCACTTTTGTGTCCTGAGGGTTTTATCTTTTCTACTCTCATTTCTCTTTGCCCCAGTTTCATCATTTGCAAACTGCCTTAAATCTTTCGGGAAACAAGAAGGGGTATGTTTCAATCAATCAATAATTGTAGCCGTTCTTTAAGGTCCTCCTCCACGAAACTTGGCTTCAATCTTCCTGCCCAGTCATTTCTCCTCTCCAGTTCCTTGTATAGCACTTATTTTCTACTACTCAGTGGCTGAATCATGTTATTTCATGTAATTCTCTTAGTTAATGATGGTAATACATGCATAAGCTTTTATGTTAATTTTGTGGCTGTTATATACATTCATTTGTGTTCTTTTAATGTGTTATTTTGCTTGTACCACAGTCTAGCACATGGTCCATCCTACTCGTCAGCACACTTACCAGATGAAAGTGAATATTATGAACACATATACTCTTGAACACATACGTAAGAAGAAATCTCTGTTGACAAAACCTGAGCCCAAGCTACTGCTGAAATCCCTGCTTTTCTCCCCTCAACCACTTTGCCCTTACCTGATTCATCCTCTACATTGCGAATTTTTTTAAAAAATAAAACTCATCTGATCGCTCCCCTTTACTTCTCCAGTGTCAGAATCTTTACTGACTCCGTGTGATACTCTCCTTCCTCCTTCTCTAGTCTTCTCTCAAGCCACATTCCCTCCTTAATTTGATCATCAGCCCAGAGGTTGCAAACTTTCATGATTCAAAAATCATGAAGAGGCAATAGAAATACATTCACATGCTTTACAAATGACTTAAACAAGAGTATGTAGCAGCACTATTCATATTCCCTCAAATCGGAAGATGACCTAGATGACCATCAAATGGAGGGTGGATGAATGAATTGTACTCATGCAATGAAAATCACCTGCCAGTGGCCTGGTGGCTCACGCCTGTAATCCTAGCACTTTGGGAGGCTGAGTGGTGTGGATTGCTGGAGCTCAGGAGTTTGAGACCAACCTGGGCAACGTGGCGAAACCCTGTCTCTACTAAAAATACAAAAAATTAGCTGGGCTTGGTGGTGCACACATATAATCTCAGCTATTCGGGAGGCTGAGGAGAATCGCTTGAACTCTGGCTGCAGAGGTTGTAGTGAGCCATATCGTGCCATTGCACTCCAGCCTGGGTGACAGAGTGAGACTCTGTCTCAAAAAACAAAAACAAAAAAATTACCTGCCAGTAAGAAGGAGGAATATACAATATGTGCAACAATGTAATGTGATCTCTGTAATAATGTGATTTCCCTTAGGACGTAGCTGATGAAGAAATTGCTGCCTTCCCCCGGGATAGCTGTCCCGTTAGAATCAGAAATCGGTGTGTTATGACGTCCCGTCCGCGTGGTGTGAAGCGGCGCTGGAGGCTTAGTCGTATCGTCTTCCGTCACTTAGCAGACCATGGACAACTTTCTGGGGTCCAGCGAGCGATGTGGTAAATGAGCTCCAGAACCTACTGAACTTGCAGGAGAAAAGACGTATTTAATAGACCCAACCCTGATCTTGACATGGGCCCAGTATGGTAGTTTAGTCTACCTGATGCTATCCATAAACTACTTTTAAAATGAAGGAATTTGGGTGTTTCATGTCAGTGAATTATCTTTTCTCTTGGACTTAATAAACATACTGTTCCCATACATAGTGCAAAGAGTAGTATAATATTTTCTGTGAATGCTTTTATATCCTCCTTTTAAGTTTAATCTTTTAGTAACATATAAGGGGTTTTGTGGGTTTTTTTGTTTTGTTTGTTTTTGAGACAGTCTTGCTCTGTCGCCCAGGCTGGGGTGCAGTGGCATGATCTTGGCTCACTGCAACTTCCACCTCCCAGGTTCAAGCAATTCTCTGCCTCAGCCACCCGAGTAGCTAGGATTACAGGCGCCTGCCACCATGCCTGTCTAATACTTTTTTTTTTTTTTTTTTGTATTTTTATTAGAGACAGTGTTTTACCATATTGGCCAGGCTGGCCTTGAACTCCTGACCTCATGATCCACCTGCCTCGGCCTCCCAAAGTGCTGGGATTATAGGCATGAGCCCCCATGCCCAGCCCAGGGTTTTTGTATTTTTAAGAGCATTATTTCATAAAATATTATCTTACATGTAATCCAGCTAATGGACATGTAGCCCATCTATGGCAGTTTGTAATGCTGGGCTAGCTGTCCTGAACTGCGGAGCTCCCCTTACTGTTGTTAGATAAACAATAGATGGGAATAGCAAGGCTGCTGTTCTGGATTATCTAATGCTCCACTTCTTTGTATGATGGCTGAACAAAAGAACCACTAAGTGTTTTCTTGTCCATCCTTAAGGACATCTTTAAAACAAATTATGCCTCCTTAAGCCCTTGAAAATCTTTATCGAAAGAGGAAGTTTTGTTGGAGCAGCACATATTCTCTGTTTTTATGTTTATTTAATCTGTAACAGGAATGAGTAAGGGTAGCAAGAAGTTCTCACTCAGTAACTCAACAGCGTGATCAGCCCAGTGATAAAGAGAGACATATTAGAATGGAAATACCTACTTAACATCAGGAAAATATTCATGGAGAACTTAATAAATCAGGAGGTGAGGGATGAGGTTTTTTTCTGCACAGTGGGAACAAAAGCACAAAGAAGCAAAGGCACGCTCTAGCATCAGAGGAACCACAGTCACTTCAGTGGATCAGAAATACGAAACACAAGACCAAGGGTATATCGTGGAGGATCTCACAAGTCACGTGAAGGAACTAAGACCAACATACCAGGTATGGTATGAGAGAGTTTAAAGCAAAGGAATGACATCATCAGCTTGTTATACAGGTAAGTGACAGCTGTGTGGCAGATGGCCATGAGAGGAAAAGGCTACAGGCAAGACAACCAATTAGGAGGATGTCTTAATTGTTGAAGAAGATGAAGGCCTGAACTAACATCTTTGTATTAGTAGAGAAGAGAGGACAGATTTTTAAAGTTCTAGGAAACAAAATTGGGTAAGACTTACAAGACTGATTATATCTAAGAGGTAAAGATGGCTCTCTGGGTTCCTGATAAAAGTGTCTAGATAGATGGTAGAGGGCAACTCCAAGAGAGAAAATTTGAAAAAATAACAGATTTAGAGAAAACAGAAGATACACAAGTTCAGGTTCCAGTCATGCAGTGTTGGAGATGCCTGTGTCAGCTGATGGAGAAGTCTAGTATGCAGCTGGATAGCAGAGTCTGAAACTCAGGTGGAGGTGGAGTTATGAGGGAATTATCACAATCTAGTTGGGATTTATATTTCTTAAATATGTATGACAGCTTACCAACTGGAATGTTCTACCTAGTATCTTAGCTACTAACTAGTGTTAATCAAATAATAACTAAAACAATCAGATTTACTGACTTCTGGTATATCATTGAAAGGACACCCCACATCTTTCTGGTTTGAATGAGAACAAGTTTGATCCATGTATTTCATTTCGTTGCTACATCTCTTAAATCCCTGATAAACATCTTCCTCCACTCCTTTATGTCATTCATTTGTTGGAGGAACTAGGCCGTTCTTCCTGTACAATGTCCAACATTTAGCTGTTTGATTCTTTCATGCAAATTCCCTATAAACTGGTAGTTACACTGAGACAGGCCTAGAGTCAGGCTCCATGTTTTAGAGATAAATTTTCATCAGCGGTGCTGTGTACTGTTGCCCAGAAGGCACGTATCTGGTTGTCTAACTTTTAATGATTGACCAGTGGGTTTGGGTGGGATTAGCCTGGTCCTTACATTTGAAATTAACCATTCATTAACCTGCCACTCAATGGTTTTTGCTTTTTGTTTTATGTTTTATGCTTCACAAATCTGCATGTCATCCTTGCCTAGGGGCCATGCTGACCTCGGTATCATTCCAGTTTTAGTATATGTGCGGCTGAAGCAAGCAGTCTTTGCTTATCACTGGTGATTGTTTCCCTGATCTATTGTTTTACTAAGGTTTGCAATTGTAATTTTTAAATTCCATAATGTTTCTGTATTGGACAGAAGTTGTGTCAAGAATCCTTCCTTATCAGCAATTTATTTTCCTGAAATTCTTTTCTTCAAGATAAATGAATTTTTTTTTTCGAGATGGAATTTTGCTCTTGTTGCTCAGGCTGGAGTGCAGTGGCGTCATCTCGGCTTACCACAACCTCAGACTCCTGGGTTCAAGCAATTCTCCTGCCTCAGCCTCCTGAGTAGCTGGGATTACAGGTATGTGCCACCATGCCTGGCTAATTTTTTTTAGTAGAGACAGGGTTTCTCCATGTTGGTCAGGCTGCTTTCAAAACTCCCAACCTTACGTTATCTGCCCATCTCAGCCTCCCAAAGTGCTGGGATTACAGGCATGAGCCACTGTACCCGACCAAATGGATGATTAACAATTTTCAGAGTAAATAAGTTGGTGCTCTAGCCAGTGGAAATGTTAACAAATTACTTATTTCTCCCTGTCATTGTGAAATTGCAAATTTTGTATATATTGTTTCAATCCATTCCATTCATTATTTCTTGCTCAACTTGTCCCATTACCAGTAGAAGCCCCTTAAGTTGGTTCCTGTATCCTATTGACTTGGTATAGAATTATTTAGTATTTCCTTGCTTTCTGACATAAGCTAACCTAGGTTTACTTTGGGCATTTCTTGCCTCAGACATTTTTTCCAAGGGTTCCTGGTCTTTTTTGTAGGAAATGGTGTTTAGTTTAGAGACCACACTGAGCACCAGGGGGTGCTGATAGCTAGGCTGGGCGCGGTGGCTCACGCCTGTAATCCCAGCACTTTGGGAGGCCGAGACGGGTAGATCACTTGAAGTCAAGAGTTTGAGACCAGCCTGGCCAACATGGTGAAACCCTGTCTCTACCAAAAAATACAAAAATTAGCTGGACATGGTGGCACATGCCTGTAGTCCCAGCTACTCAGGAGGCTGAGGCTGGAGAACCCCTTGAACCTGGGAGGCTGAGGTTGCAGTGAGCTCATATGGTGCCACTGCACTCCAGCCTGGACAACAGAGTAAGACCTTGTCTCAAAAAAAAAAAAAAAGGTAACAATGGTGAGTTTATATTGATTTAGAGTTGTGTTTCTTTCACATAAAAACCTTAGCTCCTAATGACATCAGCCTGTTTACCTTTATCATAAAATATATTAAAAGTTTCAATATACTATAATTTTACTAACACCAGTGATTAGTTTTAGATTCACTTGTGTTTTTATCCTTCGAATCCATCTCACTACCAGTGAGCAAACACTTGTGTTCTAAAGTTACTTGAAATTAGTTTATACTGCCAACTATATATGCTATGGTTTGAACATTTGTGTACTCCCAAAATTCACACTGAAATATAATCCACAATGCATTGGTATTAAGAGGTGGGGCCTTTAGGAGGTAATTAGGCCAGGAGGGCTCCACACTGTACCACCCTTCTAATACCGTAAGGTGGCACCATACTGGAAGCAGAAAGCAAGCCCTTACCAGACACATCTGCTGGTGCCAAATCCTAAGACTCCCTAGCCTCCAGAACTGCAAGAAATTAGGGTTTTTTTTTGTTTTTTTTTTTTTTGAGACGGAGTCTTGCTCTGTGACCCATGCTGGAGTGCAATGGCATGGTTTCACCTCACTGCAACCTCTGCCTCCTGGGTTCAAGTGATTTTCCTGCCTCAGCCTCCTGAGTAGCTGGGACTACAGGTGCGTGCCATCACAGCTGGCTGACTTTTGTATTTTTAGTAGATAAATAAAAACTGGTTTATTCTCTTCTGAACAAGGTGAGCATCTTTACATGTTAAGCATCATTTACATTTCTTTTTCTATGAAATATTTGTTCTTAATTGTTGGACTCCCGTCAGTATATCGTTTGCTTTTGGGTTAATACTGGGGTTTTTCTGGTCATATAAACATTTTAATGTAGCTAAAACTGATCAATAGTTTTATTCCTTCTAGGTTAGTTTCCCCCCATCCTTCGGTTATAATGGAATTCCATCCATATCTTCTAGTACTTGTGTGCTTTCATTTTTACCATTAGATCTTCAGTCTGCTTGGGATATATCTATATGCCTATTTTTAGTTATTAAAAACCCATCTTTACTCCACTTTTAAAATGCCACTTTTACCATACTCTACTTTCTATGCATTGTGTCTGCTTTTCTGTTCCACTGGTCTGTTTATTCATGTGTCAACACCAATTACAGAGGCATAGTGTGTTTCAATATTTACTTGTAAATTTACTTGTATACTATATGTAAACTGTTTCTGTATTTTAATTTTAAATCCTGTTTTTTTCCAAATTCCCATATTGTAGCTTGTGTCTCTAATGGCCTCTTTTTTTTCCCCCAAATGAAACAGGTTCTCGATCTCTTATCCAAGCTGGAGTACAGTGGCATGATCATAGCTCATTGCAGCCTTCCTCCTGGGCTCAAGTGATCCTCCAGCCTTAGCCTCCCAAGTAGCTAGGATTACAGGTGCCAACCTCCATGCCTGGCTTCAATTGCTTTCACTGACCTAACTGCATTGATTGGCTAACACCTCCAGTAAAATACGATAATGGAGATCAATCGCACTGCTCCTGATTTCAGAGGTAACAGTAATAATTCCCACTAAAAGCCTCCCTCTTTTCTGACATACTCCTAGACAAACAAACCATAAAGCTGTTCTAATGAAGAAAAACTTAACTTTATTGAGCATAGGAATAGATGGGCTTTCAAATTATTTTTTGCTTTATGGTTATTACTTTTATAAACCATTTGATCCATGGCAAAACTAACTGGTACCATACAAAGATGTTTGTCTATTGTCATGTTTAGGTTTGGTTTCTATTCTACATTTGTAAACAAATACATTTAAATCTAGATAGAAACATTTGTGATTGAATTAGTGCACGGTAATACATGGCGTATACATTGCTTAAGCTGGTAATAAGGGGTCAGATGTACAACAACCTTCAAGCACAGGCACAGATTTGCATTTTATGCAAAAATTCAGGTTTTACTGTTTTTACATTGGTGGAAGCTGATGTCATTAACTTACAGGCAAGCAAATACTTTTGTTTTCCAATTCTTAGGCGAACAAAAATACACACAATGTAGCCTTTTCATTGGGCAAGACTTGCTTTTTATATTTCACAAGAGAATGCAATATAACCCTTGAACAAGATTACCAAGATACTAATAAAACCATCTTTGCAGTTATGTTTAATAAGCATATTTTATTTAAATAAATCCTCCAGTAGGAAATGGAGAATTTACTGCCTTTACTTAGAAGGCTATGTAAATAGCTATCTGTCAAATTTAAATATGCAGCTCGCCAATATTCCCTTATTGGAAACATCAGTATTTCCATATCATACCACAGTTCCCAAAAAGGACTTTAAAGTCTCAAAATTCTGTATCTCCTTTGGCTTGCTTCTCTCTCGATTCCACCCAGGCTTTATTAATGGTTCGCTTCATATCATCATCTCCATCCTCATAAATTTTCTTTAGAACATTCATCAATCCCTCACTAGGATCTGTTTCAGTGTCATAGGAGGGCTTCCTGTTAAAAAGAAAAAACATACAACAATGGAGAATCAAAAGCACAGAAAGAGCATAATTCAGGTTAACACTGGCAGGAAGTAGAGGGACAGAGATTGAGAGAGAAGACGGAGCATCCAAAGATACAATCAAAACAGCATGCAAATTCATCTTAATGAAAACACATACCTACCAAACATGTACACACTTGATGCATGAAAGAGTGATCATCACAATATTAAGGGGCTATTCTGAGGCAGTGGGATTCCCTATTTTTTTTTTTTTTTTTGAGACAGAGTCTTGCTCTGTCACCTAGACTGGAGTGAAGTGGTACAATGTTGGCTCACTGCAACCTCCACCTCACGAGTTCAAGCAATGCCCGAGTAGCTGGAAAGGCACAGGCCACCACACCCAGCTAATTTTTGTATTTTTAGTAGAGATGGGGTTTCACACCATGTTGGCCAGGCTGGTCTCAAACTCCTGACCTCAGGTGATCCACCCACCCACCCCTGCCTCCTAAAGTACTGGGATTACAGGCATGAACCCCCCTCCACCGCTGTGATTTTCAATAGGCAAAATAAGTAAGGATTTGATTTTCTAACTTGTTTTATTTTTTTTAAAGCATGTTTCCTCATAATTTGGGGGGGAAAAAAAACCACAAATGTACATTACACATGGATGTACCCTGAAGCTCATTAGAAAAGCTCTCTTAAGCCTGAGCTACACAGATCTAGGCCTGGTGGTGATAGCATCATCTTTGGTCAGTACTTCTAGAAGACAAACTGACCTGCAATGCAAGTATCATCGAATAAACATTTTTTAAAAGTCATCATTAAGAAGGATAAAGATTTTTTTTTCACTCTAAACCAGTGACAATGAAAACAACTACATATCACAACCATCATCTGAGAAATTTAAAACATACAGGGGTATCTGAGTCTCTCTGGAACTACTGAAACAAATGTTTCTAGGAATGGGCACAGTATTCACGTAGAAGCACAACTGTGCCTAGGGTTAAGAACCACACTAAAGAGTCAACCCTAACTACAAAGACCTTCTTAAAAAGTAACTTGCTGGATATGTGCCCTCTTCAGATAGTTACTGATAGCTGAAACCATAAATATCCATAAAGACAAACTTAAAAATCCATAATCTCAAATACATTAAAATTCTTTTAAAAAATGAAAGTGACTCACTCTTTTTCTTTGCACTCTTTTTCAACCTGAGTCAGGTAATCCCACCTTGTGTTTTCCACTTTCTTTCTACATAAGATCAGAACTGTATCAGTCTTGACCTGGAAGAAAAGTGGGAAAACAGGTACAACTTAAAAGACATGAAGATAAGCATGAATATTTAGAAAACAGTCAACTCTCTAATAGGTGTAGATTTATTTTGGGTGCTAGTAATACTTGTATGAATAGGCCAAAATGTGAACATTCATGGTGTGAAAAGACCATCAATAGTAAAACTTGAATGTGATCATATCCTAGTAAATGGGAATCAAGACAGAGTGGGTGTTAATGGGAGTGAAGGCAGAAATTTCATTAGGAAGGCCTCTCTGAGGCTAAATCTGAGCTGAAGCCTAAGGTCAGGAGAAGGCAGGTGGCAGAGCATGTAGATGGAGCCAAGACTGGCTGATCTTGGTGTGCTTGAGGAACAGGAGGAGTGGCTGGATTTTAGTGACTGAAGGAGACAGAAGAGGATTTGGGGACAGGCAAGAAACCAAGTCAAATGAGGCAGTATGGGACAAGATGAGGCATTTGGAAAGTGAGAAAGAAGGGCACTGTACAGGTCTTTCAACAACGATTACTACAACTTCTAGGGATCCACCTATGGAACTAGTGGATGCAAAACGGTGCAGTAAGACAGCTGATCAACTATATTCTAGTATTACCTATAAGCTGTTATGTCACTATGTATTATAAAAACAGATAGCAGAATGGCATGTCTATATACCTAATGCAGTGAACTTCATTTATTCAAATTAGGCAGAAAAGAGGGACTATCTGATTTAGTAAAATTATGAATAGTTTTTAAAAGACAGTTTCATCATTTTCACAGCTGCTTCCAACTCCAAGGAGGCTGAGTACTTAAGACCTCCTTTTATGCATACATTATGCACAATGCTGACACTACCATTAATTTAAGCACTTACAGAATGTACTGCACTTCAGTGTATCATTTCAACTTTGTGAAGTAAATTATTACTATCACATAAATGCAGACACTGAGGCACAGAGTGATTAAGCTGCCAAAGGTCAAAAACAGTAAGCAGTAAAGCTGGCGTAAAACTCAAGTCTCATTTTTAACTACCTTCAAACGTTTCCTTCCTGATTTTAATGGAATCTTTTTTTTTTTTTTTTTTTTTTAAACAGAGACCTGCTTTGTTGCCTAGGCTGGAGTGCAGTGGCGTGATCTTAGCTCACTGCAACCTCCGCCTCCTGGGTTCAAGCAGTTCTCTACCTCAGCCTCCCGAGTAGCTAGAATTATAGGCGCTCGCCACCATGCATGGCCAATTTCTGTATTTTTAGTAGAGGCAAGGATTTTCACTATCTTGGCCAGGCTGGTCTTGAACTCCTGACCTTGTGATCCACCCACCTCAGCCTCCCAAACTGCTGGGGTTGCAGGCATGAGCCACTGTGCCCAGCCAGGAATATTCTTTTTTTTTTTTTTTTTTTTTTTTTGAGATGGAGTATTGCTCTGTCTCCAGGCTGGAGTGCAGCAGCGCAATCTCGGCTCACTGCAACCTCTGCCTCCTGGGATCAAGCAATTCTTCCACCTCAGCCTCCCGAGTAGCTGGGACCACAGGCGCTTGCCACCACACCTAGCTAATATTTCTATTTTTATTAGAGACAGGGTTTCACCATGTTAGCCAGGATGGTCTCAATCTCTTGACCTCATGATCTGCCCAGCTTGGCCTCTGGAATATTCTTACAATAGCCTATTCTTCTACAAAAGGAGTTGGCAAACGTTCTCTGTCAAGGGCCACATAGTAAATATTTTAGGGTTCATGGGCTATATGGTCTGCTGCGGCCACTTAACTCTACCATTGTAGTACAAAAGCAGCCACAAACAACACACGAATAAATACGCATGGCTATGTTCCAATAAAACATTTGCAAAACAGGCAGTAGTCTCTGTTACAGTGGACAAATTCATTCCAGTTCATCTCAATTCTAAATCAGCCAGGTTCAATTTAGGAAGGTTTCACAACAGTATGACCAAATAAAGCACACTTACTTTTTTGGAACTGCCTTCCACAGAGATGGGTTTCAAGAGATTGTTCACAATCATGGAGTAACTCTTCCCATTTAGATTCTTTACCAAAAGATCAAATGACCTGCAACAAAATGGGGAATATGATCTTTCCAGTTCTACGAAAGGCACTCCATAGTTCTTGTGGGAAAAAAAGCCACTGGTTTTATTTCAGGGTGTGTGTTTGGCCATTCCAGATGATTTTAACGCTTACCTTCTCAAAGTAGTTGTAAAGATTAATTCTCAATTTAAGAAGGATTTTACTAACTGCAAAGAAGAGAGTCCCAAGATGAGGCAATGTTGACTGTTAATGATCGCTGTCTTCCCGATTATAATGAGAACTCACCTCTCTGTGAAATGCACCTGCACATTCTCAGTGGGAACTTGATGAACTCCAGTTAAGGTAATGTAGATTTTCACAAACTTATCTGACTGATCCCATCCTGGCAACAACAAAAGATGGAACGCAAGTAAGTCTCTCAAACTATATCTACCAACAGCAAATGCACATGGCTCAAATTTCAGGAAAGTAAAAATATGGAAATCCAGTCATATAAACATGAAAAAATTTGAAATCTAAGAAATTTTCAAGGTTGAGAAATGGAGCCTCAAAGCAGCTAAGTACTACCCAAAGTTAGGCATCTAACAAGTGCCAGACTAATTCAGATTCAAATCCAGGTTTCTGAACACAAAGCCTATGCTCTTTTTATCCCTTAGAATAAAAATATGATCACTAAATACATTTTTAAAGACTAGTTCATTTACCATTTTTATGGAAATAATTTTGTCCTACATCTAAATATTGGTAGTTCTCCACTTAGCTGGATGGCTAAAGTCTAATTCCGTATCATTTCTACTTCTCTAAGTAGTCTAACAAATGCAATCCTAGCTCCCTTAATTTCTTTCCAGGGCAGAACAATGTAAAAGACTCCCAATTCTTCATCCAAATCTGACATACCTACCAGTATCTATTAAATGCTATTTCAGTATGTATTATCAAACTACCAACAAGTCTCTAACCTAGAGGAACTCTGTTGACGTAAAAGACATATAAACTTCACAAAATACCATCTCATTTGTAGAAAATAAAAAGCTTCGTAAAAAAGTCGTCTGTTTATCAAGTATATGTACACATCCCTAACTGGTCCTCACTTAGTCCTACAGAATAAAAACATGCCCCATTCTCCATGACGTTTTTCACACTGCAAGCCTATATCAAAATGGCTCATGTACCCCATAAATATATACAACTACTGTGTACCTACGAAAATTATAAAGAAACATAGTGTTAATCCAATGCCCTGAGGGTTTCAGAGAACTTCATTTATTAATAGTTTCTTCCCATTCAGTCAGTCCATCCTCTGGATTGACAATACTTCTCCCTCAACACATTTCTATGTTCCTGCTTAAAATACCATAATCCTAAACACCTTCAGATCAGTTTTCTATACTCAACTGAGCACACAGTACAATTTCCTATAGTACTATACAGTACATTTCTTAGGCATTCTGGCTTGATACTAGCAACCTGACCAAAAAAATCATGTGTCATAGCTTGATTATATAAAGCTCAATTAAAAAAAAATCTTTAAGTACTTAATAACTCAATATCAGGGCCAGGCGTGGTGGTTCATGCCTGTAATTCCAGCACTTTGGGAGGCTCAGGCGGGTGGATCACCTGAGGTTGGGAGTTCGAGACCAGCCTAACCAACATGGAGAAACCCAGTCTCTATTAAATATACAAAATTATCCAGGCATGGTGGCACATGGTTGTAATCCCAGCTACTCGGGAGGCTGAGGCAGAAGACTCGCTTGAACCCAGGAGGCAGAGGTTGCAGTGAGCAGAGATCATGCCATTGCACCCTAACCTGGGCAACAAGAGTGAAACTCCGTCTCAAAAAAAAAAACAACAAAACTCAGTATCAGAAGCACGACAGTTTGAAAGTCTTTCTTAATAGTCTTATAAAATGCAGTAACAGAACTACTAATGCTTTTCCTTTACTACAAGTCTTTTATCTCATTTAACTCAGATACCCTAGTTTTGCCTATCTTTAACAGACGACACAGTATAAAAAGTTCAACTCTGGCCGGGTGGAGTGGCTCACACCTGTAATCCCAGCCCTTTGGGAGGTCAAAGCCAGTGGATCCACTGGAGGTCAGGAGTTTGAAACCAGCATACACATGCTTTTCACTATACCAATATTCCATATATATCATGCCTTCCAACTCTTCCTCTGCTCATGCTGCTCCCTTTTCAACTTACTGAATATACAACTCACCCTTCACATTCAAATCTAATTTTCCCCGTTTCTCACCTCCAGAATTATCCTGAGCTATATTACCCACTATGTACTAGACACTATGAGCACAAAGAAAAAAAAGACTGTCCTTGCTCTCATGAGAGCTGATCACTCATATTCAAGTTGTACTGCCGCCAAAACAAAAAGCTGAATACACCACTGAAGGAAAGTGTTACTACATTGTTATAGTGTGAGTTATATGTCTGTGTCCCAACCACACCATGAGCAAGGACTGGGTCTTAGTCACTCTTGTGTATCCTTAAGTCCAAGCACAATAGTGATACACATTAAGTGCTCAAAAACATTTATTGAATTTAACTGGATTCCTCTCCTCAGTTAATTGAGGTGGCTGTCAGAGTGCAACGTAAAACATTAAAAACCACCACCACTGCAGTGCCTCATATATACTGAACAATTTCAGAGTAAGTTGCTTCGTTGTTGCTATTCATCTTTGCACCGAATCACCTTATTGTTAACATCTTTTGTAAATTATCCCTTCCTATTTATTAAATAAAAACTGATGGGTCTTCCTCCAAGCCACCAAAAACGCACACAGAAAGCTCTTTTAAAGATAAATTTGGCCGGGCACGGTGTCTCACGCCTGTAATCCCAGCACTCTGGGAGGCCAAGGCGGGTGGATCACGAGGTCAAGAGATCGAGACCATCCTGGTCAACAAGGTGAAACCCCATCTCTACAAAAAATTAGCTGGGCATGGTGGCACGTGCCTGTAATCCCAGCTACTCAGGAGGCTGAGGCAGGAGAATTGCCTGAACCCAAGAGGCAGAGGTTGCAGTGAGCTGAGATCGCGCCATTGCACTCCAGCTGGGTAACGAGCGAAACGCCGTCTCAAAATAAATAAATAAATAAAAATTTGTTACTAGATCACTATGAGGAATAGGTTGATCGGAGGCAGAACTGGTCTAGGGAAGCAAATCATACCATAATTACTGATTTTCACTGTATAGCCTGTTGTAATGGGAGCAACCACAGCAGCTGGCTTTTCATTTTCAAGAAGCTCTGCTTTCTTCTGTGATTTCTGTTGCATCTTGTTCTTGATTTCTGTCTCAATCTTGGATTTTTCAGCTGTAAGGGCATCTCGTATTCTTTTCCTAGTAGTCTTTTCCAGCAACACCTTTACCTCTTCTAGATCTTTCTGTAGCTGTGTTAAGACAAAAAATAAGTTAGCTATGATAAATAAGGCTATGGTTTTCTATTGTGCTTATCACTCATTTCAACTTACTGAAATAAGCACTAAGAATTAAGAGGTTCATCTAAATTTTCTAGGATTGAGTTGCAACTTCAATTCTTTCCTCTGGCTTATTAACTATAATTAACTCAAGCTTCCTTTTTTTTTAAAGGAAAACTTTGAACAATCTTGAACAAACAATAGGTAATCAAACCTAGTTTCCAGTTTGTATTTAAAATATTTACAAGACACATCTGCAACTTAGAAATTTTTTTTAACAAGGTGTTCATAGATTTCCTTGTAACATCTAATCCTAGTATCATTAGATGTTAAGACACTTTAAAAATATTTAAGAGATGAGAGAACATGCAGTGTAATACAGCATGGTAATATAGCAACTTTACTGAGGTAATGAATACTCTACTTTCTGTCACTGACTGGTCTTCATTATCTTCCCACCTCAAATACCTCACATAAAAAAAGTCTAAAGTTTTCAGACTAAAGATTTTTAAAAACAAATTTCTGCTTTTAAGGAAAAGTCTTGTTCTGAAGCTGGGTCTTACAGTCAGAAGTGTAGGAGTTGGGTGCACAGGTGACAAAAAACCCAAAATGCAACCTACTCTTGGAAATTATCTTTTGAAAAAGCCACCAAGTTCTTGTTTTCTTTTTATGCCAATCCATCATCTACTAAAGTCTACTACTTTTTACTTTCTAGAGATAGAGGCAACATTTTATGAAATTCAAGAGTTAAAGACAATGTTAGAAAATTATTGAGCCTAAGTTTTTTTCCCTAATTACCCTCTGACATACTGCAAATGCACAAGATCTTTCCAAACAGGTGATTCGCTTTTCTTACAATGACTTTTACATTCTGGCTGGATACTACCAACTTGACCAAAAAATCTTCTGTCACAGCTTGATTATGTCAGAAGCTCAATTTAAAAAAATCTTTAAGTGTTTGATAACTCAGAATAGCCAGGTGCAGTGGCTCACACCTATAATCCCAGCACTTTGGGAGGCCGAGGCGGGTGGATCATGAGGTCAAGAGATCAAGACCATCCTGGTTATTAGCAAGGTGAAACCCCATCTCTACTAAAAATACAAAAATTAGCTGGGCGTGGTGGTGCGTGCCTGTAGTTCCCAGTTACTCAGGAGGCTGAGGCAGGAGAATTGCCTGAACCCAGGAGGCGGAGGTTGCGGTGAGCTGAGATCGTGCCATTGCACTCCAGTCTGGGTAACAACAGCGAAACTCCGTCTCAAAAAAAATAAAATAAATAACTCGGAATATCAGAAACACAACAGTTTGAAAGCCTTTCTTAGTCATAAAATGCAGTAACAGAACTACCCATTCTTTTCTTTTACTACAAGTCTTTTATTTAATTCAGAGGCCCTAGTTTTGCCTAACTATAACAGATGACATAGTATAAAAAGTTCAACTCTAGCTAGGTGCAGTGGCTCCAGCACTTTGGGAGGTTGAGGCCGGTGGATCGCTGGAGGTCAGGAGTTCGAGACCAGCCTGACCAACATGGCAAAACCCTGTCTCTACTAAAAATACAAAAATTAACCAGCGTGGTGGCACATGACTGTAATCCCAGCTACTCAGGAAGCCAAAGCAGGAGAATCACTTGAACCCGGGTGGCAGAGGTTGCAGTGAGCCAAGATCACGCCATTTGCACTCCAGCCCGGACAACAAGAGCAAAACCCCGACTCAAAAAAAAAAAAAAAAAAAAAAAGTTCAACTCTGCTCCACCCTCCTGTCCACCCTCAGACCCTTCCAAGAGCGGTTCATACTACCATGACAAAAAATTCTGCAAACTCATCTTTTGAGCCTAGAACTAAGATGTTTTGGTTCAAAGTAATATTTTTATTGTAATAGTTCCAAAAATTCATGCTGATTCCAAAATTCCTAATTCATAAAAATATTGAAATGTAAAATGAAATGTAACAAGCCTAAACAAGAAATTCTGATTTTTGACTGGAATAGGAATGCTTTTTCTAGCAGAATCAGAAAAGTACTTCAAATTAGGCAAGAGATTCCCCCAATGGCTGAATTCCCAAGCCTCTTTATTGCCAGTTTGGCTGTAATCTTTTTATTGTAAGGTATGCACTGAAGAAATTTACAACTGAAACAGTTCCTCAGTTCTGCTGTTTGCAGATTTGAAACCTTTCTGCACAAATCCTTTAACATGTCCTAGATAGAGTAGTTTCTCATCTAGTTTATCATGGAATTTTCCTTGCCTTCTTGGCATGTATTTGTTTTACCTATATAAAAATTCTATTTTTCTTTTATCCCTATCCATAACGCATTCAAGCTTTACCTATTTCCTAATTCTTCACCTAGGAGGCATTAACACCAATGTGCCTCAAAAATGGGCAAAGGAATTCAACACACATTTCTCACAGAAATGGACACCAAGCACATTAAAGATGCTCAACATCCTCATCAAATCCCTAAGATGCCACTTCACACCCACTAGGATGGTATCATAAACCAAAAAAGAAAAATAAAACATCCCAGAAAATAACAAATGTTGATAAGGATGTTGGGAAACTGGAAGCTTCAAACATTTCTTGTGGGAATATGGTGCAACCCTCTGGAAATAGTTTTAACAGTTTCTCAGAAAGTTACCATATGAACCACTAATTCCACTCCTAGGTATATACCCCAGAGAACCGACAAAAATGTCCCCCCAAAAAACTTGTATACATTACTCACAGCAGCTAGCCAAGAAGTGGAAATAAGGCCGGACGTGGGCCCCATGGCTCACGCCTGTAATCCCAGCACCTTCGGAGGCCCAGGCAGGCAGATCACTTGAAATCAGGAGTTTGAGACCAGCCTGGCCAACTTGGTGAAACCCCGTCTCTACTAAAAATACAGAAATTAGCTGGGTGTTGTGGAGCGCGGCAGTGAGGCAGGAGAATCGCTTGAACCCGGGAGGTGGAGGTTGCAGTGAGCCAGGATTGTGCCATCCAGCCTGGGCGACAGAGCGAGACTCCCGTCTCAAAAAAAGAAGTGGAAATAAGTGTCCATCAACTGATGAAAGGATAAACACAATGCGCCATACGCATGAAAAAGAATTTTAGCCATAAAGAGCATGTGTACTGATAAATGTTACACCACAGATGAACCTGAAAATGTTAGTGCTAAGTTGAAGGAGCCAAAAAGCAAGAGGCCATACACAGCGTAATTCCATTTATATGAAATGCCTAGAATAGGCAAATTCAGAGACAAAGTACAAGATGAGTAGTCAGGACCTAAGGGAGGAATGGGAAGCAATTGTTTAGACATTGGTGACACCTGCACTACACTGTGAACATACCAAAAACAAACAAAAAACCCTGAATTGTACACTTCAGAATGGTTAAAAATTTGAATTCTCCATATGCATGACTGGGAAGTTCTCTCCTCAAGGCACATGGTACCCAATACCTACCTTAACAGACTTGTCACAAGATATCCAGATTAATACTAAAATATACAAACCTCACAGTTTTTCTTCATTTGAAGAAAAAATTTTGAGGGGGGAAAACAAAAAAGCCTGGGATTTCCCAGTACTTGTTTTCATAAAGCAAATCTAGTTAACACACACCCAACACTAAACTAACTGTCCGGTCTTCACCTCCCCCGTAGGCCAGGCAACGAGCAATACAAGTACTATCATTACCACTTTCGAACTGAGCAAACTAAGTCTCCATAAAATTTAATTCTCCAACGTCCAGAGTTGACAGAGCTTTAACACAGGCCATTCGATTTCTCACTATCAATTACGACTAACTAAGTTATTTATTGTAAAAGTCGCATACAGCATAGTGCTGTTTGCCAAGCACTGGCTTAAACACCTAGAAATCATACTTTTTAACAACCCTGTGAAATAGATGCTACTGCGACACAGAGAAGCTAAACAACTTGCCCAGAGTAACACAGCTCGTTGTGTGTAGAGAAAACACGACTAAGAGAATTCAAGTGCTAGCACCAAGAACTTCTCACCTTCCGACCGCCCTCTACCATCAACGACTCTCACGTTTGCACCCAGCTTTGCTTGAATGAAGCTTCCAGTCCTCCGGCTGGGAAGCCAGAGCAGAAAGGGCCCGAGGAACAAGCGCAGCGGGCCGCTCTCCTAGACCCACTCCCCGCACCGCCTGCACGGAGAATCTCCGCACACCCCCTCTCGGGCCCGGCAGGCGAGTGGGTGCGGGGCCGAAGGGAAGCGCGGGGAAGCATCCCCCCACCCTGGGAAGGCGCGCCCACTGCCGCGGGACCGGGTCACCGCAGGGCTGCTCAGTACAAGGAAACGGCGGTGGGGCGGGAGGCCGGCGCTGCAGCTCCAGCCCGGAGGGCATTAGGAAGATAGGGTCGGACCACTTACCTCTTCCGAAGCCATGGGGGCTAGTTCAGGCCCAAGGCCCGAGCTGCAGCCGCGCAGTGGAGGGAACGGGAAACGCCGCGCGGAGCCCTCAAACCGAGCGCAGACGCCCACCAGCACGAGTCGCAGCGCCGCAGCCTGCGCGCACACCGACCCTGCGCGAGATCACGGCCCGCCTCCCGCACGCGGCGGCTCTGGAACCTTCGCGAGGCCGTCGCCGCCACCGCCCACCGCGAGCGCGCACCTCCCGCCGACCCTTACCCCGCCCCTTCCCGCCCCGTCGAGTCTGGCTCCGCCCTCCCGCCGAGTCTCCTAGCAACGCTCCAGTCTCGTGAGAGAACCGGCAGATCGAGAAGAGTAATGTCATCCTCTGCGCCCCGACAACTGTGTGCATTATCATTTGACCGTGCTGGGCCAGGCTGCGCAGTCGCAGATCGAAACCGCTGCCTTAACCCAGCCCCGGAAATTATGTACCGAACTTCGGAGTCCAAGTCGGAAGTTGACTACAGAGTCACTTGCTTCCGTCCGCTCTAGCACACCAGACCCGCCAGGCAGCCATGTTGTGTAAAGCCAGTTTCTCAGCCTACGCGAGAAAAAGGCAAAAATGGGGAGAAGGAGCAGCCTGGCTACGTTCAAACGGGAAAGAATGGATGTGTTAAGCGTGGAGGGCTTCTGAAAGGAGCGGTTTGATTTGCAGAGAATTTGGCGCGCTGGAGACGTCACCAAGGTCTAGCCTCTCCAACGTGGCGGCGTCATCACGTGCCGCGGTAGGAGGTGTGGCTGCGTTGTCCACGTGACCGCGCCCAGTGCCGGAATCCCAGATCAAGGCACTAACATAAGGGCTGTCCTGTGGCCACAGTTTCAATCCCTCCTTTCTGTCGTGGACTGTTGAAGCACAATTTCCTGGTGCTTTCGCCCCTTTCACCGACCATTTCAAGAGTTCGTTGTTCTCACCTGGGTTTGGGTTCGGTATAAGTGAGCCTGTTGACCCTCAAAGAAAATGCTGAAATGTCTTCTGGGGACGATGTTCTCTTCTAGTTCTTTTTTTTTTTTTTTTTTTTTTTAAGAGACGGGGTTTCCACTGTGTTAGCTAGGATGGTCTCGATCTGGTGACCTTGTGATCCGCCCAACTCCTCCCAAAGTGCTGGGATTACAGGCGTGAGCCACCGCGCCTGGCCCTCTTCTGGTTCTAACCGTGCCAATCCCCAGAGAAGCCTAGTTTTCAGATTACTCTAGTCTTTGGCAGGCTCAAGATGTCAACAACACAGTTGAAAACCCCTGAGAGGTCACATAGCCCGCACTCACCTTTATAGATCATCCAAGGCAGCGATTAGAATCGCCAACTCAGAGAAGAAAAAAAGCTGTTAGCAAAATGGAGGCTGACCATTATCTGTAGTAAAGAACGGGAACTGCAGTACAAAAATAAATTACCGAAACGCAACATGGGTGAATTTCACACAGAAAAAAATGGCGTTAAGGAAAAGAAGCCAGACATCGAAGAGTTTATATTACGTGGTTCTGTAAGTCTAAAAACAGCAAAAGTAATTAGCCCATGGTGTTAATGAGCATAGTGGGGAGGATAATGACATGAAAGAGCCACCAGGGGGCTTTTTAGGTTCAGGTAATGTTTCTTGGACACTGATTATAGATAGGTGTGTACACATTAGAAATCTCATTGAGTTGTAAACTTACCTTTATGTACGTAGTTTCTAATGTAGATTATACTTAAGGCCCAGGGTGGGAATTTTCCAAGGTAATAAAAATGTTACACTGATGTACAGACTTGTCAAAGTTCTTGAGATGAACTTCCTAAGAGCTGTGTATTTTATCGTATAATTTTTTTAAGTGTCCAACCAGTAGCCTGGAATTACTAAGTGCATAAAAACAGCCCTTTGCATGGAGTGAAAGCTTGACCTAATGCAGTGAACGATCACCTCATTCTCTTAATTGCTCAGGCTGAGTCTTCTCAGTCTGAATTGCTTGTACCTGCGTCTTCTATCTCAGGTACATCTTATAGCAACCCTTACTGGCTTAATCTTCAAAATATGTAGCAAATTAAGCGACTTCTCACAAACTCTACTGCTGCCTCCTGACAGGGTTTGGGACATGCTATCCCAAAATATGGTACCAAGTCATATTGAATACTTTAAACCGAAGGAATTTGAGACAGAACATATGCAGGAATGTCTCCAACTTTCTTGCACCCTTCTGCCCTGAAGCAGGTCGTAATACCCTCATGTGAGAGTGGCCCTCTCTCTACCTGGAAGTAAAGTAACATCTATATCTCTGAAAACACAGGGACATAGAGATGAATGTGAACATCAGGCCTTGCTAAATTTCTCCCAGTTTATTACCCTTAGATCACAGTCTTTTAGCCACATTACATTTTCCCACAGTTCCCCATTCTTCATCAAACCTACTCTAAACAACACTAAAGTTAACTGTTTGGGTCTTCATTTCTAAAGTTTCCCGTGTTATGTTAAACCAACATTAATATTTATGCTTTTCTCTTATTAATTTGTCTTTTGTTATGGGATCCCCAGCCAATGAGCCTAAAATGGGTAGAAGGAAAAGATATTTCTTACCTTACACACCCAAATACAAGCCATCATCATTTTGTCTGAAGTTTTAGCTTCCTAACTGGTTTCCCTGCTTCCCTATTGTGCCTTTAGAGTTTGTTTTCCATATAGCAGCTGGAGATAACTTTTCAGAGGATTATATTCCTTTGCTTAAAAAACCTTTAACGGCTTCCTATTAGGCTTAGAATGAAGTCCAAACTCCTTACTGTGAACTTTAGTGTTTTACATATCTTATATCTCACCTTTATCAGCTTCATATCAGAATTCATCTCTCACCACTCTTCCTTCCCCCCTCCTTGATTTAAACACTGGCATCTTTGGTATTTCTTGAACCCAGTGGGTTTGCTCTTGCCTCCACGTCTGTACTCGGCTTTCTCTCTACCTGTAATCCTCCTTCTCCAGTTCATCACACAGATCGTTTCTTCACTCTATTTAGGCCTTTCAAAAGTAACACGAAAGGGAGGCTTTTCCATACAATATCAGTTGAGGTTCAATCAGAGAAGGAAAATCTGTAGGAGGTAAATAGATATTTATAACAAGGAATTGGCTTACACAATGGTGGGAATTGGCTAAGGAAGTTCAAACTCCGTAGGCCAGGCAGACAGGAGTGGAAGATCATAGGTAGGCTGTGTCCCATGAGAACAGACTGAAGCTTTCATCCACAGAAAATCAAAGCGGGAAGAACACAAGCAGAGTGGCAGGAACTACTTTCTCAGGAAAACCTCGGCCCTGCCTTTACGGCCTTCCTACTGATTGAATCAGGCACACCTAGATTATCCAGGATAATCTTCTTTTACTGGAAGTGAACTAAGTCAGGGCTTTAATTGAGCCTGCAAAATACCTTCACCACACTTAGTGGGCTAAGCCAGGTTTACATATCAAAAGCCATCATGATGTGTACCAACCATCCTACCAATTTTATGCTTGCCAGCCTTGCCATTTCTCTGTACCTTCTTACCCTGTTGTTGTTTTTTTAATAATACTTATTACCACCCGAAATGTGTTAGTCTTTTTCCTGTTACAGCGGTCATTCTTAGTTGGGGGCAATTGTGGATATTTTGTTCCCCTCCAATCCCATACATGTGGCCGTGTCTGGAAGACATTTTTAGTTGTCACTGCTGGGGAAATACTATGGGCACTCAGTAGAAGCCAGAGACTCTTCTAAGCATCCTACAATGCATGGGGCACTCTGCCCCCAAACTACAGCATCATATGGCCCAAAATATCAACAGCACTGAGGCTGAGAGCTGCACTACTGTTCAGGCTTCACAGAGGCAGGATCTCTTTGTTCACCTCATTTCTAGCACTTAGAATAGAGACTGCTTTAGTGAGTTTAACAGACCTGATAATTTTTAATACACCCTTAAATGACTGGTGTTAGGAAGGCTTTGGAAGCAAGCCCTGGATGTTAAGTAACGGCATTAGATTCTTGATTTGGGTCTCTCTCTGTCTCTCTCTGTCTCTCTCTCTCTCTCTCTATATATATATATATATACACAAATATATATAAATATATAGCTATATTTATATATATAAACACACATACATGCATATATACACATATATGTACCTGTGTGTGTGTATATATACATGCATACACACACATTTGCATCCAGGCTTCACACTAGAGGGGCTAGTTATTTAAAATCTCAGAGGCCTGTGTTTACTTATGTCAAAATGGGGACTGGAATACCTAGTAACATTGTTGGAAAATTAAATTCAGGATACTCACATAAAACCACATAGCAGAGTCCCTAAAAATAGTAAGCACTCTGTAAATACCAGCTCTGGCTTTGTTACTTGGCCACCTACACCCATGACCACATCTTAGGTCTTACCATGCCACAGAGCTGCCCATCTCCAAAATCCAAAGCTCTAACAGCCCATGTTCTGAAGGTAGTTTTCTGTTTTCTTCCAGCACCCCTACTCCGTAATTCCTACCATGCCTATTTTCAGCTTCATCAATGCTTTGTGACTTTGTGCAGTCCTTTGGTATTTCTATTCTTTTCTATTAGCCTAAAAAGCTAGATGTATGATCATTGATTTTACTATTCTTTTTTTTTTTTTAATGCCATGAAGCTCATAAAGGAGTCTACTTTTGTCGCCAGGCTGGAGTGCAGTGGTGTGACCGCCTCTCGGGTTCAAGTGATTCTCCTGCCTCAGCCTCCCAAGGAGTTGGGATTACAGGCACACACCACCACACCCAGCTCATTTTTGTATATTTAGTAGAGACAGGGTTTCACCATGTTGGCCAGGATGGTCTTGATCTCGATCTCATGCCTCAGCCTCCTAAAGTGCTGGGATTACAGGCATGAGCCACCACGCCCAGCCACCATTCTTTTCTTAATACCTGGGCTACTTCCTTGGCCCTCTGTCATTCTATTACACCAGACTCCACATCTGTTTTCTGCTTTCCTTTCCCCTAAACAAGGCTGGTGATTATCCCCAGTCTCTCCTTTTTCTCTGTTTTGCTAGCATTTATAAACAGCTCGAATTTCCCATCCATGAGTCAACAAAACAAACTCCAGTTGGCATCTCTCTAGTTGCACCCCATAATTGTCCTTGCATGTACCATGTAGAAGCAGAACCAACTCCTTGCCCTGTTCCTATTCTGAGTAATTGGGTACATTGGCTTCCAAAGTCCGGAAAAACATAATGATGACACCACTACTCCACACACATCAGGGTTATTATATCCAGTTCTAGTTCACCATATAAATGAAACCTTGAGCCTGAGCCTTTCCTGTAAAATTAGACTTCCTAAAGACAATCGAACAAAAGAAAATATCTCCGACTTTTACAATGCTGATGTTTAAAAACATGATAGTGTGAGTATTGCTTTTCCCTGCCATAAACAAACTAATTCTAGAATCTAGAAACTTGGAGGTTATGTTGTTTTTTTCCTTTAAATACTTGTTGTAATTTCTATTTGGTAAGTTCTCCTAAAGCCTGGATTTCATTATAAACTTTCCTTGCAAGTAAACTTTTAAAAAGATTTTGCCCTGAGCCTTCCTTTGACAGTTGTCAAAATTTTGTTAAAGTATTATTACAAAAAAGGTGAAATCAAGACTCTCATGCAAATATAAATGGACATGTAACAAATACTTTATTCAACTCATTAGTTAATGAGAGTGTATTTGAATAGCCAGGTATTTATAGGCAATTTAACAATGGAACGTTAGTATAAGGTGACCAGGTTAGATACAATCTGGTTAATGTCTCACAAGGTAATAAACTATAACTTTTGGTATTACCTGTTCCACTGGAAAGTAGGGATTTGCATTCCTACTGGAAAAATGTCTACCAGTTAATGTGTAGATTCAGTTTGGGACCTTTAAATCAACAGTGAACAATGAGATGAATAAAGTACAATCTCCTAGTCCTTGGTTTGACATGGAAAGGGCATGCCGCTCACCTTTTTGCCTTGTTTCTAAAGTTTGGAATAATTTTCCTTTCAAAATGAAATGATTTCTTAGTTAGTTGTCTATTTCAGGTAGCCCTTCCGCTTCCCCCAGTTACAGTACATGTCAAGCTTACTCATGATTTCCCAACTGCCAAATTCAATGGATATTTTGAATTTTGAATTTTTTTGCTTTGACTCATACTGTTCCCTTGGGGCTTGTCAGCAGGTAAAGGAATGACCTTCTGGGGACTGTGCAAAATATGGACTGCTTTATGAATTTGTGTGTCATTCTTGTGCAGGGGACATGCCAATCTTCTCTGTAGATTATAATTTTAGTATATGTGCTGTTGAAGTGAGCACTTCTGAGTAATTTTGATTGTTTTAATGTAAAGTTTTGCATTGTTTAAAATACCAGCTGGGGGCCAGGCATGGTGGCTTATGCCTGTAATCCCAGCACTTTGGGAGGCCGAGGCAGGTAGATTGTTTGAGCTCAGGAGTTTGAGACCAGCCTGGCCACATGACAACAACTTGTCTCTATAAAAAGAATAGAAATATTAGCCAGGCATGGCGGTGCATGCCTGTAGTCACGGATACTTGGAAGGCTGAGGTGGGAGGCACTTGAGCTTGTGAGGTGGAGGTTGCAGTGAGCTGAGATCACGCCATTGCACTCCAGCCTGAGTGACAGAGCAAGACCGTCTCAGAAAACAAACACCACATGGCCAAATGAAAGATGTCTGAGGTCTGGATTTGGGCCAAAAGCTATAATCTTACAGCCTTTGATTATTTTTTTAAATACATGCTGAATTCTAAGAGGAGCTGACCAATCTCTTGAGCTTTCACTTGGGTTCCATAGATTCCCAGAACAAAATGCAAATGCAAGTGAGACATCATTGGAATTCTCTGCACACTATCTCCACTTTCGTAAGTACCTCTGGAGTTTGGTTTGAATTATATAATATCTCCTACCTTGCTACCTTGAAGGACCAACAGCAGGTACCTGACTCAGGATTAACCAATCGTCTTTTTTCAATAGTTTGTAATTGAAACAATTGAGATGGTAGTCTTCTGCTGGTAGTTTGAATACAGGATATGTAAACTTGGTAGCTGTGTACTTAGAAGCAGAGAAAGCTTGTTTTCAGAGAGAAGAATGAAGCAGGTAAGTGTTGTCTGGAAGGACAAGCAGCAGCATAGGTACAGGACCAGTTGCTTTGGGGGTCCTGATGGCATTCCAGCCCCTTATCCCACTGCCAGTTCAGGCCCAAGCGTTTAGCCTTTGGGACCTATGATACAGACACCCTATTTCCTTTTAATTAATTGCATCTTTTTTTTTGAAACGGAGTTTCGCTCTTGTTACCCAGGCTGGAGTGCAGTGGCACGATCTCGGCTCACTGCAACCTCCACCTCCTGGTTCAGGCAATTCTCCTGCCTCAGCCTCCTAAGTAGCTGGGATTACAGGCATGTGCCACCATTCCCAGCTAATTTTTTGTATTTTTAGTAGAGATGGGGTTTCACCATGTTGACCAGGATGGTCTCGATCTCTTGACCTCGTGATCCACCCACCTCGGCCTCCCAAAGTGCTGGGATTACAGGTGTGAGCCACCGCACCCAGCCTAATTAATTGAATCTTAAAATTACTATTATTAAGCTAGTTTTCTTTTTTTTTGAGATGGAGTTTCGCTCTTGTTACCCAGGCTGGAGTGCAATGGCATGATCTCAGCTCACTGCAACCTCCACCTCCTGGTTCAGGCAATTCTCCTGCCTCAGCCTCCTAAGTAGCTGGGATTACAGGCATGCGCCACCATGCCCAGCTAATTTTTTTTTGTATTTTTAGTAGAGATGGGGTTTCACCATGTTGACCAGAATGGTCTCGATCTCTTGACCTTGTGATCCACCCACCTCGGCCTCCCAAAGTGCTGGGATTACAGGCGTGAGCCACCGCGCCCAGCCTAATTAATTGCATCTTAAAATTACTATTATTAAGCTAGCTTTCAAGGGTTTCTGTTTCTTGCAAACAAGGTACCTCAGTAGAGAGGAAACTAAGGCTCTTTGTGGTCGTGCTGCACAGGATATCATTCTGCAGGGTACATACATGTGTTTTCTAAGTTGACTGGAGTCTAGTGTTAGGTGTAAGAAGTGTTAAATAAACATTGGGTTCAAATGAGTCAGAATAAAGTCAACTAAAAAAAGATTAAAAAGACATACATGGACTTCAGAACAAATGTTTATTACTGCTTAATGGGGCCAAAGGGGCAACACGAAGCATTGAAAACATCACTGGCTCACCAAAACAGTCACCTTGTTACCCTCTCGGTTGCATTTGTTTATTTCACAAGGCTTCATTCACACGTAAAAACAAGATACTAATCCAAGTTCATAACAATTATAAAAGTAAACATTTGTTGGGACAATGTACAATAAATTGCACTTTTTAGACGAGCATTACATTTACATTTATAGAGTGTACTATACATAATATATGGAATTATGGAAACATCTAATTGGTCATTATTTATAGAGGAAGAGGCTGATAACTAAGGTTTATTTTGTAGTTAATTAGTACTGTTCAGACTAATCAACTCCTTTATTCTAGAACCTGTTTTCAATTAGAGATGCCATGGACAAAATCATAGAATTCATAAAAATAGATAATTCAGAATCTCTGCTACCTCCTCGGCAAGGGAAAGGTAGGAGTTGGAAAGAAAGGAAGTGGGGCTGACTGAGAAACTTCATCCCTCATTTGAACTAAGGATTCATGCATTATGCAGAATACCAAAAATAGAGAAACTGATACAATAGCTTTTGGGACATCTTAGATCTGGGACCATCTCCAGCCTTATTCTTGTGCTTTCATGACACCAGAGTCTTTCAATGCATTTATATTCTCAATATTCATCCATATATTTTATCCCATATATAATATATAGTTATTAAAAGTTACAGTTTAATGGAAATGATTTTACATGTTAATTGTCAATGAAAAAAGGAAAATAACTTAAAATGTTCATTTTCTACTCGATTCTTTTTTCTTAAGCTTTTCAGAATACTAATGACAAATCAGAGATGGAGGTAGGAAGAGTGGGATATATTAATGAAATGTTTTTATAGCAGGCAGCATATTCAGGTAGAGATAAGCTTGACATATGTAGCCTTTTAGATGCAAACTGAGAAAGGAATGCCAGACAGCTGACTGTAGTCACTAAAATCTCCTATACATCCCCTTTTCTCATTACAGCTCAAGATCGGCATCTCCTACTGAGGTGCCGCCAAGGTTGAAGTCCTCATTTTGTTCACTTTTGAAAGATGAAGAATTTGCTAAGCTAAAGGACTTTGCCTGTATTAAATGGAAGCCACTATGAGAGAGGAAGAATGTGTTGGGACAGTTCTAGTTCAATGTGACTGTCAGCATGGTGACTAGAAAGAGTTTTACATCTGGTAGTAGGAAACAGGCTACAAAGCTGTGGTCTGGCCTTCTGGCTTTGATCATCATTTCTTTGATCAACCAAATACACATTTGAGATTTCCTGAAATGTGTATTTGGTTGTATGGTACCCAGGTAAACAAAAGAAGCAGAGATATATAGAGAGAGTATCTTATATAGAGTATATATACTTATATAGAGTATATATAAGATACTCTCTATATAAAATTCCTCCAATTAAACACACATACAAACCTAACAGTGTTCAAGTCATACTACAGAATTTCTTCACTCTTCACTTGTAATTGGAGCAAAAGAGTCAGTATTTGGGAGTTTGTTTTTTCTTTTAAATTGAGACAGAGTCTCGCTGTGTCATCAGGCTGGAGTGCAGTGGCATGCTCTTGCCTCACTGCAACCTCCGCCTCCTGGGATCAAGTGATTCTCCTGCCTCAGCCTCCCGAGTAGCTGGGATTACAGGCTTGCACCACCAAGCCCAGCTAATTTTTGTATATTTAGTAGAGACAGGGTATCACCATGTTGGCCAGGATGGTCTCAATCTCTTGACCTTGTGATCCGCCTGCTCAACTCCCAAAGTGCTGGGATTACAGGCATGAGCCACTGTGCCTGGCCATTTTGGAATGTTTTTAAGGGCAAGTTATATAATATAATCACCTTGCTTATCAAGTAAAAGTGTTCTTTCCCAGAAGATAAAACAAAACTAAGGCATTTACTTTTTAAAAAGTTTTTTTTTTAATTCCCTTTGGGGTCCCCAAATCAGACAACCACCTAAGTGTTTGATGTCAAGGTTGGTTGAAGAGTTGGTAGACTAATTTTAGCAAAAGTAAAAGAAGGTTCAAGCCCTTACATTAGTTACACATGTGATTCTCCTTCTGGGTGACTGACTGACTCCTTTAAGGATCTAACTGTATCGCCTGTGCCCAAATCTGTATTCTTTTCTCTTGTTTCTCACTTCAGTTAGGAAATAAAGCAACTAGTTATTAACTGGAAAACATTTTAAGAAAATGGAGCAGGGGTTGGAAAAAAATAGATATTAATACACCTTAGGAAAACAAAGAAACAAGATACATACTATTAAATATCCCTACATCTGTACAAAGGTTGCTTTTCTACTTTACCAGGGACATTTCAGAAAGCCAATGAAGAAGAAAGTACGAATTTAGCAGCTGGGAGAGGGGCAGGAGAAGACACTGGTTGAGTGGCATTCTTATTAGTGTTCCTGATAGGCACTCATAAATAAACAGAACATTAAGTAACTGAGAATTTCTTTGCATTAAATTATGTGTAACTAAATATAACCAAATTGTGACATGGCTCAGGATGTGGGAAGCTAGCAAACATATGCACCGCAAAATCCAGCTTGGTTTCTTTCAGAGTTAAAGAATGTGTTGAGATTCTCAAGATATAAAACTTGATGAAGTGCATCACCAAGTTGAATTTCATTCATTTAATGATTTTTACAGAATTTCATGAAAATTGAAATGATCAGTTCTCAGATATTACAAATATTAGATTTCCAGAGGAATGTTTTATACAGAGTGCATCCTAGGAAAGGAGAGAAAATACTAGAATCTTTTGAAACTTTCCTGGATATTTGGCTGGTTAATCTCTTCTAAATGAAATTCAAGAGAAGAGATGCAATTCTCAAAATATATCTCAAAATAAGTGAAATTTAAACTAGCAGTTACTTCATGCTGGAATGCATGAGTTTTCAAACAGTAGACAGTGAAGGACATTTTGTTTGGAATATTGCTATTATAACATCGTATGAACAATCATATCACATACCAAATTCTGAATTTTTTTGTTTCTAGTCTTTACTATTGCTACTAACTCAAAGGCATTGCAGTGAGGGAGAGTTTAGGCTTATGGTACCATCAGGGATACCCATATGGGGCTGGAGAATAAAAAAAAAAACTATGTA